ATAAAAAGCAAAAAATTTCATATCTTTAAACAGTAGCGACTAACACGATACTTTTTCTTCGTCTTCATTAGCTTTTTTTATCCCTAATTTTGTACTATTAATATCACGTGGTAATTAACCATATCGAACAGTATTAGTAACTGAACTTTTACAACAAATGTTCGATGTTAAAAAAAATCTTATAGCTGCTTGTAATCCTTGTTATCGGAATTATGTAAGACAAAAAAATAAAAGATTTTTAATATGAATTTGATTATATATTTGTTGTATTGAATTAGTCATCAACAGCTGTTATATTTCGTGATCGAATGTCAATGTGTGAAGTTGAAGAACAAATGTTAAATGTCAAAGAAAAAAAAACTTTTTTGTATGTTTTTGCTAAATGGATTCCAGATAATCTAAAAACAATTGTATGATATATTCCATCATATCAACTGCTAATGTCAGCTACATTTATTTATTTAACAAAAAACGAATCTTTTAATTTGTTGATTTTGTTTTTTTTTTGTGATCTTTATTTAGTAAATACAATAGTTATATTTCGTTGAAAAACTATTCTTCATTAGTATACCGATGAAGGAATGAATGATATCATTTGTTTTATTTTCTTATGCATTTTTATATCTTATCTATATTTTTTTTATAATGAGAATTCTCTGAAGCTAAATCGAATATGCATGAGAGATGTTGTTAATGAATATCAGCAACATCAGGAAGCTGTCATTAATGCGGAAGGTGATGAAGATACTGATGATTTAGAAACAGCAATAACTTTATTGAACATAGTATTTATTCTTCTCATTCTTTTATTTCAGATAACATTTGAAAAGAAATAATGAGTTATAGATCTATATTTTTCAAACTAAAGTCTTTGTTTAGTAAATATTGATTTCTATTAAGAGAAATGAATAAAATTCCAAGATAAACATTCGCATCATATCCTCCTTAGTAAGAGAAAACCTAAAAGACTTGAAAAATATGCCAGTTATTTTTTTCCTTCTCATTTATACAGACTATTATTATTCCAATTAATGAAAGAATTCATGTATATGTTAATATTGTTTTTTTGTTTGTCTGTTTATCACATGATATATCATGACATTCGACGAATCATTTCTTTTATACAAGTTTCTACATAAGATATTTGATTTTCTCGGGGTCAACTACTTCATCGACCAGTTCGATAATTAACTAGTGAGTGATCCTTAAGATATATATATCATATATTATCTTTTCTTTATCTAGATAGCTGAATTGGATATAGCATTTTCAACAGTAATTCAAAAATACTAAGATAAAACTCAAGAAAATGAAGCTTTGTTATTTTTGTTTATACTTTTGGTGCCTAAATAGTAAAACTTTAACATATTGATTAATAGCTAGGTACAAAAAAGTATACTTCTGAGTCTAAATAAGTTGTTTTTATTTTTCGAAAAAAAAACTTTTCAAATGTACCAATGTCAAAAAAAAAACAATTTTATGTTGTAATGAAAAGAATAGGCAGATCAATAATATTATAGTTTGATATGAAAAAACATTTCAATGCCTATTTTCAAATAAGATAAATATTCTAAGAAAGATATTAAAGCTTATTCATTTTTAGTCTATGGAAATTTCACCACGTTTACGTAGAATCGAGTTGTTGGTCGATTTTGATCTCCAAGATGGATAGTCATTTTTTATTTTCTAGTTGACTCCATTTCAATTAGATTGTGGGGTGTGGTTGTAGGTGTTGATCTTCTATTTATTTACATCAGCACTCACCTCCACACACTCTTTTCGTCAACCTGAAGCAAACTCTTCAGATGTTTCTCATCATTCCAAACGTTGACAGCAGAAATCGAAGAATCGATGTTGATAAACTCAGCAGTCGTCAACTGCTGACTACCAATTCAAAAATAAGTCAAGTGAGAATGAGTTCAGGACGCAAATGTATTACAAACTAATTCAAAATTTCTATGTATTACAGAAGAAACTTATTTAAACAATCCATCAGAATTTACAATTGCATAACTCTATTAACAAAGGTGTGCTTGTACCTATAACTGCATCTTCATTCTGATAGTTTCTGCCGTAACTATTGATACCAATTAATAAATAAAGAATTATTTTCTAATTCACTAGCATTATTCAATAAATGTTTTAGAACTGTTTATTTCTTTCTTTGTGACTTCTTCTGATTATAATTTTCGACAAAGAACTCAATCAATGCTAGATTTATTACAAAATCAATCTATTAACGTATAATAATGAATATGCCAAAAAATATTTTATTTTTCAATTGATACTATAATTTTCACAGAAAATATAAATCGATTATTGACTTTAATCAAATTCAACAGAATAATCATCGTCTTTATATTGAAGCATTTCACTAGAAGAGAAGGAATTATTTTACTACAAAAGAAAGAAACTTTATTTATATCATTGAATAAATGAAATTAATCATACTCTGCTTCTTTCTTTTTATACATTTGATCTGTATCAATAGATGAAAGTCAATAATGATCTTTATCATTTTATATATGTACTTTTTGCCAGATCATCAATGCTAAAGTAACAATATCGATTAACTAATTTTTAAAAAATCTCTTCTTTCATCTTTGAGCCATTACAACACAACACAAAATGAAATGAAGTATTTTAAATTATGTATTATGTCTTGCATCTATTGCAACTGAGTTATGTCTTAATCGATAAACCGAAGAAGAAAAAAATAATAACGTTCTCGTCAAAAGAAAGCTCTGATAAATTTGTTCTTCCTATTATTTAATTATCAATAATCAACCAGATCTACACAACAAGAACAGCATGTTAACACTCGTACTACATATCTACAAAATCGAAAATATGGATGATGCATCAAAGACACTGACCTTGTCAATACAGTATCTCTCTAGGAATAAACAAACAATATTTAATTAATTGTAAATTGAAAAGTGAAAGATTTTTCTCGTAAATGTCTACTGCATCTATGTGTAATTTGTTTTTTTTACATGTAATACCATGAAAATACGTTTTTAAAAAAACCAATTATGTGAATGCATACAAGTGTTCGCAATAATATCTAAAATATTATCATGATGAGTAGGATGGTTATTTTTCATTGATTTCTATATTCGGCTTGTACCGACGGAAGAAAAAATCTATTTAAATTACAATTTTATATTTTTATTTTTACAAAGTATAGAAAAAAATAACATACGAGATGTGTATGTTTTTTATGGTGAATCTCAATTTGGTGATAACCATAGTCGTTACGGTTTTTTTAAGAAATTTAGATTCAACAAATAAATAAAGGTTAAAAATTCTATTGATTGAGGTGTATCCATGTTTGAATGTTAAGAAAGTAAGTTCGACCAAATCGGATTTGATGGTAGTCTAGATTTGACGACATCTGGCCATTCATTTACAACACAATAATATTTTCTATAATTACATATATATTTATCGTCACAATAGTCTTTGTGAAAAAAATGTTGACGGTTTTTTTTTACTAACTTTTGTACTAATACAATAAATACAAAGAAGAAATATGCATTGATCACAATCAGTAAAATAAACGAAATGCCATTATTTAGTACTCTTGATAATCATTCCTAACAACAAAAGTCTAGAGGAGTCAAATTGTTGTTTCGAACATGCTGTACAGAAACACATTATAAAGAGCTTGATGTTCAAAATAATGTTATGTAATCGTGTGATTTCGTTTGTTTTATAAAACAATTGGTTGTCTTCGTCTTCTTTATTATAAAAAAACAAAAAAATTTAATACATCTTTAAACTACGCTAATAGATTAAAAGATGGGAGACTAGAATTTTGGGCCAAGGAATTTTCGGACTAAGTTTTCAGTCTGGTTCAAAACTTCGGTATCTTTTCGATTGAAGTCCAAAAGTTACCATCACGTCAAACCGAGCTGAGTTTTCCTGCATTATTCCTCATAAAGAGCCTTATTTATAAAATTAGTTGATACACTTCATAGTTATCAATATTATGTCATCCGGTTGAGCATAGCTTTTGTTTGGGTTTAATGTAGAAGGGAAAAAATTCTAGAAGAAAGTCTCCTAAACACAGAGAGAAAGTATTAATGAATAAAAAATATTTTCTCTTTTTTGGAAGGAAATAATGAATTTTCCTTGGAAATTGAAGTGACACATTATCTTTGTGTAAGAAAAAGAGAAGGGTTATTATCCTTAAATATTTCAATAAAACTTCATATTTCAGAGAAAATTCATGTTTCTCTCTGAAAACTAGAGAGAAATCGTTCTCTTGTGTATATTTTTCCTATATTTGTTCTGCAAAAAACCTTTTATATAACAGAAAAAAAAACATTTTCAGAGAAAAAAAGTTAAATGCAAAAGAAAATTTAGTAGAGAAAAATTCTCTGTTGCTTCTCTTTGATCGTATGTTCTGCTGCTAAGCACTATGGACTGTACTACTTATTCTTACAAATAAGACTCTTTATGTAGATTAATGAAATAAACTTCTGACTAGTCCAAAAATTCTTCGAGCCTATATTCCTGTAACTCTAAAAACTAGCTATCTTTTGTTATTGATCTTTTCATCATAACAGAATCACTCATGATGACTATTTACATACTCATGTAAAACTACAAGCGAAAGATCAGATTAAAATAGGTTGTGACTCGATTAAAATTATATAGCTTTAATTCATTATTAATTAACTAGGAATCAGTTATGATCAAAAAATAAAAATAATCAAAAATAACAAAATTCTATTGACTATTCTGATCAGTTTCGATTATAATTATCGTTTTTTTTTTGTTTATCAATGATAGTCGATTCTTATTATAAATATTGAATCAATTATAATCGAAATTAATTAAAATAATAAGTAGAATTTGGATTTTTGAATTTATTTTCTGATGTCAACTGATTTCGAATCGATAAATAATCCCGATTAAAGGCATATTATTTTAATCTGATTTGTCTCTTAATTGTTTCTTTACATGAGAAGATGAGAATAGAGTCAATATGTTTACAAAGCTGTCGGATTAGTTGTATAAGGATGTTGGGCGAGCCAACGATGAGATCCTCGTCGATTAGGATTTGGTTGTAGGCAATGCTTTAATACATCGTTGACATGAGATGAACGTGTTCGATGACTATCATATGGTGGATAAGGTGAATCTCCACACGGTGGTGTTCCATAAGTCATAGTGTATAAGATAGCACCTGCTGACCATATATCGGCTTTCGATGATATGCTCGCACCTGGAGAAAAGCACTCAGGTGCACTGTAACAACGAGTACCAATGGGCTCTGCATTTGAACCAAATCTATATGTATAAAACATATATGTGTATCTATGTCAACAAAAATATTCAAAAAACAATGAATAAAACCCTATGACTTCTTTTTGTGCAATACCCAAATCGACAATTTTCATGATTGGACCAAAAAAAACTAAATTGTCTGGTTTCATATCGCGATGAACCTATAAATGATATGATTTACCTTTCTTTTAATAATTTATATTGAGATCTACTCACAACATAATGTCGATGCAACGCTTGTACAATATTGACTAATTGTTTCCATATATTTTTTCGTTCGCGTGATGGAATATAGTCACCTATTCTTGTCATCATACCATCCATTCTACGATATTGACTTTTCATATCTTTCATATTATGAAGTTGTTCAATTCGTTGAGCCAATGAATCTCCACCTAATTCCATAGCCATCAATGCTAGACCTCTGTACATATCAAAATCAAATCCATAAATAGTCACTACATGACGTGTTTCTTTACGCATCTTAAAAGCCATTGCAACTTCTTTTTGAAATGATTCTGCTAATGAGTGAGGATTAGAAATACCGGATATTTTTCTTCCACTAATATCAATTGTTTTAACGGCAGCAGGATGACCTGTATAGTCAGAAGAACAAAATTTAATCTTTCTATTGTGAAATACCGAATAGTAAACTGAATGAAGGATTAATATTACCAAGTGGTGTGACAGCTGACCATACAGATCCAAAAGCTCCTCCACCTAATCGATCAAGCAAAGTGTATTGCGTGCCTTGAATAGTGAATGTCTTATGTCGTAAGGCAAGATCAGGATTGTCCGAAATCATAGCATCTATACAATATAGATATATCTTTAGCTAGTTAAACTTAAATTGAAATGAACATTTACTTGATCGAAACAAGTTCAATACATTACCCATGATAACTTGTTAGACAATAATAACTGTTGTTGTTCGAAGAATAAAACTACCTTCAAAATAAATGGACGATGTGATGTTCTGCCTAATTAAGCAAGAACGAAAATGAAACATAACTATTTTTCTTAGTCAATAAATGAAACATGTCTGTATAATATAATATATGCAAAAGAAAATGCAGGAAATTTCGAATAAAATAGTCATTAAAACAATTTATGATGTATCTTGCATTCATAACATGTTGTTATACATCACTTTATATCACCCCGGATGGGTTTTGAAGAGTAGATGTTCGGTGAATAAAATTTTATTCACCGAACACCTACCCTTCAAAGACCCTCCGGGGTAATATGTTATCTTTTTCATGATCATACTAATATTTCGTTATAACATAGAAAATTGAGTTTAATTTGAAAAACAAAAAACAAAACCTAAATAGTATAGGCGACAATTAAGACGACATTCGATCTACTTATTATAATTCATATTTTAGAAGGAATTGAAGTCCTTATGTTTTGATGTGGGAAGACAGTTGACTCGAATCATTATCTTAATTCTCTTTACTGTATTAATCTCTCTGTAGAAAATGAATGGTATGTCATGTTCTGTTGGTGTAGCGGTTATCACATCTGCTTAACACGCAGAAGGTCGCAGGTTCGACACCTGCACAGAACAGTTTTATTTTTTTATTTAATAATAATCATTTTTTTTTAATCTTTTATTGATAAATTAAATTTGAAAGAGAAAAAATAAAGAACGACATCTTTTATTGATTGTCATGATTATACTTCGAAAAATTTATACCATCTTATAACTGTCAAAGCAATAAATTTTCAAAGTTTTATATTTACATTGATTAAATCAGAAATATCTGGTTAAAAAATCATCCGATTAATCGTGGTTCTGTTGGTGTAGCGGTTATCACATCTGCTTAACACGCAGAAGGTCGCAGGTTCGACACCTGCACAGAACAGTCTCTTTTTTTCATGATGAAACAAAAAGTTCATTTGTAAAAGACGTCATAAAGAGTTTGTACTTTATCATATATCTATATATGATTTCTATTTTTTAAATAGAAGTTTAACTTGTCTTCATACTATTGAACGATTGCGTTGTTTATTATGAGAGAGAATGATTATCATATATATGTTCAAAAGTTATGCAAATACTTAAATACACTACTAAAAAAGATTTGTTACACATATCCATTTGCTAAGCCTAAGTCTGAGATTATCGGTCTTGATAAGAGGAATCTTGTCTTGAGAAAATAATGATTCTCTCTAAAGTTTGACTAGCGACGTACGAGATCAAGGAAGCTTAATCTAAAATTTGTTTCCTGAGAAAAATCAAACTCAACAATTTCAAGAGGTCAACTGTTAGATTCAAATTCCTCAATTTCAGAAGCTTTTGCTGGAACTTTATAGAAAAGTTGTTATTTCTTCAGACAAGGCATCTGCAACTGAGATTTAAACCATCTTTGAACAAGACCAAGGCCAAGAGTCTCGATCTCTGTGCATGCATATCTAAATACATTTCAACAGAAACGATTATCGTTTCACTGCAAGTGTTTGGAATGTTCACATCGATTGAAGGACATGCCCCTAAACTATCCTTTGTCAATTTTTGATGATTTATATAAATATAAAGTTGAATGATTTTATATGTCATTATTATGTGGACTATACTTGAATGATTCTCTTAAATGATTTGCTAAGAATGAAATACCATACAGTCTTTATTTTTCTTTAACTCGCCTTTTTTTCTCTTAAAGTGAAGTCCGAAGCTAATTATTTGAATGTTTTCATGTATTAATCGATAGATATTATTGAGATGTCTGTTCGACAACATTACGTTTATTCGTGATCAATTTTTGACTCTTTATTCTACATATTCATGTTCCGCTTCTCATCTTATTCATCCTATATATAACTATTCACTGAGAGAAGACAAAAAAAGATTTTATATTTGAAATTGGAAAATGATTCACATATTAAACCATTCTTATGTACTTTGTTATATCTGCATATCAAAAAATTTCATTGACAAGATTTATCTTAGGAATATATAACAGCAACTAATAATATTTGTCATTGTTTATAATAAGTAAAAAGCAAGTTTGTGAAGAAGACCAAGCAATTCTTGGATCAAATTGAAATCCTGAATATGCATGCTTAATAGTGAAACAAAGTCAATTAGAATATTGTTATATATATAATGTATTAGATATATGTGATTTTAAACGATTTGAGTTTGTAACAATCTGCTGCAAAGATATTGCAGTAAGTAATACTCAAATTTCTAAAATTAGAAATAAAATCTACAGAAAAACATCTTTATTATAATTTTGTTTTAAAATTTAACATACAGTTCTATTGTAGTCCAGATGTCGTACAATGATGTTGTCAAATGTGATCGAAATTTTTTGATTGACAAGAATATTTGATCAATAATAAAGTATATATACTTTTCATTTTTCATGTTTGCAATGAACAAATATCTCATATTTAGAATTCAAGTTCCATCATATAATATTGCTCCATACATTCAAATTATTTCGTGATTTTGTTTCATATCTTGTTGCATTACATAATTGAAATGAATTTGTTATAATATAAAAAACTGATTCACATTCTAGATTATTTTTTTATTAACGTAGTTAAAACATATTTGATATTATTTTTCTTTTTCAATGCATTTTATATTATCAAATCTGATATTTATTGAACAATCAATATTTGATAGTTTTTATCATCAAAAGAAATTCTTCGTCGGATATTACTGATCATCTATATGAAATAATATTCAACAGCATCTCAATTTTTTCGTTAAAATAAATTTATTTCTAATCATATCTGTTTTCATAATATATTTAATTAAATTAATTAACGATTCAAAATTGTCAAAACATCTTGAACAAAATTTCTACAATTAAAATCATGAAATATGAAAGGATTTTTAAATCGTCTGATAGAAAAAGTTTATCAAACATGTAATCATTCATTCACAAATAATTCAGATACAAACAAAAACTAATTTATTATAAAATCAATCTTGTTAGTAAACATTAAAGTCAATAAGAATTGTTTGATACATATGAAACATCGATATCAATATATTGTTATATATGTGTAACTCAAAATCAATTTAAAGATTATAATTCATTAAGATTTATTATTCTTGACAATCGTTTATTTTCTAATGATTAGTATAATAAAGATTATCTTCATTTAAATATTTTTCTTTGATTAAATGAATTATTTAATACAATATGAAATTACATGACATATTCTATTATTCAATCTGATCTTAATTATTTAAATACAATTGATTTTACATTATCTAACATTATTATTGAAAGATGAAATGAATTTATTAAATGTTTAGGTGATTTATTGTTACACTACCTATAGACAAAGTTTGGTTATTTTCATAAGCAAATATTTTTTGCGTACAACAAGAGAAGAAAATATAGCAGCTGATATTTATCTCTATATGAAATCAGTTTAGAAGTATTTGAATGTATTATTAAAAAACTAAATAACATCATTGGCTTTTGTATCTATGATGTTTATGAGTATAATAAAAAAGGCGACCAGTTTTTAAATGCCACTTAAATAAAATACAGTTAGTATCTTTTATATGGAACTATATAATAGTGATGCAGATTAGGAAAAAAAATTTGCAACTTTCTTTTAGAAAAAAGAGATTTGTAAGTTTCTTCAGTGTTTTAAAAGTTTAATAGATGTGTAATCTTAGTCATAGAAAATGAACGAAAATTTTAGTAGATTCTCATTAATCTGACGCAGGTTTTTCGTGTAATACTATTTCATTTGTCATGAAAGATCTTCATTTCAAGTCATTACCGATGCATGATTCAATATTTACTTGTACGATAGTCTATGTATTCTTACAAGCCTTTTTTTAAAGTCTACTTAATTAAGAACATGTTATTTATGGAAGAAAAATGTTTGGACTTATCCAAATCTTGTAATGTAAGCTAGTTTTATGAAAAATTGAACGACCTATGGCATACATTTCTATGTAAAAATGAACATTGATTTTTTTTTTTTGGTAAAACCGACTTATAATTTTTTCTAGATATATTCAAATGATTGAATGAAAAATTCTAGCGTATTTCATCAAGTTTCATAGCTAAATGTCCTGTCTTAATAAATAATTGACATCCATGTTCACTTTTAACTTTAAATTGTCGTCCTGCCCAATCAATTGGTCGTCTTATCCAAAATCCTTGTTTACAAGTATTCTTATTATTTTCATCATCTGTTCCATCAATATTTTCAAAACTCATATCACCTTTAAGTACAAATATTTCTTCACCACCTTGACCAACAATCCAATTATCACTTTCAAAATTAGCATCCCATTTTTCCATCCATGCGCAGTCACCTGTTTTTGTATTTGAAAATAAATCTAAACGATGTCTTTTTACATCTATATCATTTTTTTTCCAATCATTCGAAGTTTCTGTATCAATAATAACAATTGGTGTTTCTGTATGATCATTCATTTGACGAAGTTTAACAAATATTACAGCACCTTGTTCACCTGTCCATGGTTCATGTTGTGTACCAATTCCATGTCGACAATAACTTAATGGAGCATGATCACCAGATAGATCATCAGAAAATATTCCATCTAATACAACAAATTCTTCACCACCACTATGTGTATGACGAGGAAATCGTGAAAATGGTTCATATTTAACAATAGTTGTAGCTCGAGCAACTTCATCACCTATTCGATCTAACATTCGACGTTGAACACCTTGTGCAGGTGAATCAACAAATGGAATTAAATTAGAATCAACAACATATGGAATAGAAAGATCAGAACGAAGCTCCATAATGATGACACTACTGTTTTAGTTTTTTGTTAGATAAAATATTATGAAATGAAGTTACACACACAATATTTATATATATATATATGTAAGGGGTTAAAATACATGACTCATAGTTGACAAGGCAAAAAAAAATGCCAATAGAACGAGAAAAAAAGAATAACAAGATAAATATTTTCTATTTTAGGTCGTATTATCCAATAGAATAACTTGATTATTAAACAAAAATAATTATTATTTTAAAAAGATTCTTACAACTGTGATTATAAAAGATTTTTGCAAATTTTTAGATGTTATATTTTTATATAAAAAGAAATTATTGTCAATTAAATCGTATTATAAATTATACTCTATTGTCAAGATATTTATCTTCAACAAATAATCTAATAAATCATAATGAGATTCGTATATGGAGTCATTCATTACGTGAACTTCTTTATCATGGTAAACCAGAAGAAGTTCTTAAACAATATCATAATCGACAACTATCATTATGTCATTTATCTGTACAAATATATTGTATACTTTTTAAAGCATATACATTAACTAAAAATTGGTCTGAAGGTCATCAATTATATACACAAATTCGAACGAATAAAAAATTTTTTAATGATCAACGATTACAAATCGCAAGTAGATTATCCGGGTTAAAAATGATGTTTTATTTCTAATCTGTTGTTTTATTCTATTAGATCATATTAAATATGTACTCAAAAGCAGGTTATTTCGATCTAGGTAATATAGTTTTTTTTGCTTTCATTTTTCTTCATTTCTGTTTATTAAATTTAGCCGAAAAGATTCTCTCAGACTTAATAGCATCATTATCACTATCAATAAATCCACATCATATTGATCCAACAGCATTTTCTATACTTATGACTGGATATAATCTTCATCATCAACCAGAAAAAACTTTAATCATATTTGATCGTGTTCAATATCCTGATGCTATTTCTTATTTGCTTGTATTTCAAGCATGTTCACAATTAAAAGATCTACAACAAGGAAAACGATTAGTTAATAAATTAGCACAATCAAATATAGATCTTCGAAAACAATTTAAATTACAAACTGCATTATTTGATGTAAGTCAATATAAATTCAATAATAGTATCTAATTATTTATCGTTAGATGTATGGCAAATGTGGTGATGTATCAAATGGTAAATAAAAAATAGCTTTTTTTTTCTCTCTTTCTTAGTTTTATGTTATTTATCTGTTCAGCGGAAAATATTTTTGAAACAATTGAAAATCCAACTATTGTTCATTATAATTCTTTGTATGTATTTTAATTTATTGTTTCATATAATTTATTCTTTTTCTTTTTTTTTGTACAGATTAAAAGTCTATAATAATAAAAAAATGTATGAAAAAGCATTTCAATTGTATGATAAATTAAAACAAAATCAAAAGAATCTTAAACCTGATCAAATCACTTTTACTTGCATTTTATATTCCACTGCTAAAATGATGTATCTTGATCGATGTCAAGAAATTCTAAATGATTTAAATTCTAGTACAATTCATCTTAACAATCATCCTATTCTTCAAATCAATCTTATCAATGCATTAGGCAAATGTGGTGATATCATTACTGGTAAATTATTTGTTTATGGAATAATTGAAACTTTTATTTTCTTAATCTAGCTCAAAAAATCTTCGATCAGATTACTCAAGAACGTACTACTGGTATTTATAATGTAAGAATCATGTATAGAGATTTGCGGGATTAAGTAGTGTTGGTTCTGATGATTTTAGTTTTTTGGATCCCAATTCCAATCTAGAGAAAAGTATTACAGAATTTATTCATATTATATCTGACAAAAAAAAAAAATTTTCAAGACTATAAATAATTCGCTTATTCATAGTACAGATCTCGATCTCAGCTACTTCTCTTGTCATATGTCTAGCTATGTGTCAATAAGAACTTCTTTCATTGTTTCATTTTCATAGGCTTTGATGAAAGGTTATATCTATGCTCAAAAACCATTAATTGCACTTTCAATTTTTGATAAAATACCAAAACTTGATGCAATATCTTATTTAATTGCAATTAATGCATGTGCTCAAATTGCTATGTTACGACGAGCTCGAATTTTATATGAACAAATTTTATGTCATTTTCCATCTTATAAAGAAGATATTCGCATAATGAATGCTCTTATTGATATGTTTGGAAAAGTAAATCAAACTCAATAATTATATTCTATATATATTGAGCAAGTCATCAATCTTATACTTGTTTTTTCTAGTGTGCTGATGTTACCACAGCTCAACATCTATTTGATTCAATTGAAAATAAACATATCATTTCATACAATGCTCTGGTAAATATCTTTTATATTATGAATATCTTAGTAATTCTATTTTGTAGATAAATGCATACGGTATGAGATACAATTTTAACTTGTTTTTTTTTTTGCTGAAACGAACGTCTTTCATTTGAAAGGTCTTAACGGAAATGGTGTAAAAGCTTTAGAAATTTATAATTCACTATTAACTCCTAATGAACAAACTTATGCAATTATTGTTAATGCTTGTTCACATTCGTTATTGGTTAATGAAGCTGAACAAATCTTTGACTCGATACCAATGAAATGTCGAAATGTTTTTATTTATGCTACTATGGTGAAATAGAATATATTTTTTTTTAAATATAAATCTTGATCGATTTTTCGTTATAGATTGATGCACTTTGTCGCGCTTCAAAAATGAATCAAGCTCAAAATCTACTTGCTGAATATGAACAAACTAATAATAAATATCCATCGATGTATATAACATTATTAACAGCTTATGCTCGTCTTCAAAATATTAATAAAGTGATTGAAATACGTAATCTTATTGAACAATATTTTCCAGATAATTTTCATTACATATCATCAGCAACAATACTTTTAGCTAATACTCATGCTTTTCTCGGTAACATGACTGAAGCTCGACGTTTACGTACGCTTGCAGCTGAAAAAAATAAACTTAGTGGAATATCAAAATTACCAGGAATATCATGGACAGAAACATATGATGGTCAAATACATGAATTTATTGCTCATGATGTTCGTATAAATAAAAATATACATTTTAAATTTTACTTTAGTCTACTCTCTTTATGAAACCCGTTCTAAAAAGAGTGTTTGAACATCCCATAATTCGTGATAGACACCTTAACAATGCTCTCTTTCGATTACTGATTTTATTGATATCCAATCAAAGACCGTATATCAATAACGTTTCGTTGTAATGTATGAATTAGACATATGTTGCGTAGGCTTATTCGGCACATTTTTAAAGAAGTAAGGAAAACGATGTTGAGAAAATATATCTCAAAATAGATAAAATAAAGCAACCTTTTTGTGATTAGCAACAACTACTACATGTTATTGTACATTTTAATTCCATAGGAATTTTATGAACAGGCTTTTTTTGTTGTTGTTTAGAAACGTCATGAACGAACAGAAGATATTTATGAAGAATTAAAACATATTTCTGATAAACTTAATAAAGATGGTCATATAAGTGATCAACGATGGATAACATCGGATCATTATTTGAATGAATCAAATGATCCATTAAATAGTCATAGTGAACGTTTAGCACTTGCTTATCAATTATTACTTCGACGAACAATATCAAGCAATGAACCAATACAAATTACAAAAAATCTTCGAATATGTGGAGATTGTCATGAAATTTTCAAACGCATTACTCATATTTATCAAGGGCTCATTATATTAGCACGCGATAGGACACGACATCATAAATTTCAAAAAGGAAAATGTTCTTGTAATGATTATTTTTGAAATAAAAAACAAAGTACAAATTTCTTTCTTTAATTAGAAAATACATTAAAAATTTGAGAAACAACAAAATTATAAATAGTTTCCTAATAATTTAAATGTTTTATATCAATATTAATAATAATTTTATTTAATATATTCTACATTTTTATTTATTTCTCGTCTTATCTATTCGTATTTTCAAAAATTACATCTGACGTATAATCTTTTTGTTATTAACATAAAAAAAAAGTCTTACAAGTGTTGACAAATACTTTTGTCTACTGATAACAAGAATAAACTTCGTATTGCTTTTTTCCAATCTGAGACATTTGCAATTTGTATGTAATTATCTAAGTTACAATGAGAAAAAAAAAAAGAAAGGGTAGCTACTACTTTTTTCCTTTTCTAGTAATGTTTATTATGTTATGAATCATTTGTTTTTTGATACCATCTCTATGATTCAGATATTATATACACTGGTATAACCATACAATCCAGTGTTTATTTTGCATTTTTAAGGTACCTAAACCATTTTATTCTATATTCGATAGAAATAACAAATGGCCACATCCCTTGAATATTTACCTGATGAAGTTCTCTTAAATATTTGTCAATATTTATCTCAATATGATATTATTCTTGCTTTTTTTGGTTTAAATAATCGTCTTAATTGTACAATTTCACAATTCTTTCAAACACTTGTTATTTCTAACGAAACCTATTGGTCTCATAAAGAAAATTGTCAACTTCTTTCTATTATTGGACCTTATCTTCATTCACTTACAATCAAAAATATTCATTTGTCTTCAGCTGAGATTAGCTTAGCATCCAATATTCATGAATTAACATTTATCCATTCACAACCTGATAATATACCGGTAAATTTATAAGCAAGAAATAAAATAAATTGAAAAACTAAACCTATTCGTTTCCTTTTTTTTAGCCACTTCGCCATCTCACTGATCTAAATATTATCTATGGATCAACATTCAAACTGATTGATATTCTATTTTCTAAAAAAAATAATCTTCATTCTGTTTATATAGCTTCAACAAATCCTTTAAAAATACCTCTTTTTTCACCTCCAAAATTTTCTAATATCAAACAACTTGCTGTAACTCTTCAATCATTTGATGATTTTGTTCATTTACTTTATATTTGTCCTGAACTTACATGTCTTAATCTAATGATACAAACGTTCAATTCCATAGACATTCAAAATTTAGACAAGTAAGATTAAATTCAACTAAATCTAAATTTATTTTTTGTTTCTCCAGTCAAACCTCGATTGAGACACCTGCGACTCTACGTAGTTTTTCTCTTCGAACATCATACGATATAAATATAAGTTTTAATGACTTACAACATATCCTTAAACATCTAACATCAAAACTTGAACATATTGCAGTTGAAATTTATACCGAAGATATTGCTTGTGTTGATGGTCAACAATGGGAATTTTATTTAAAAGAAAATCTACCAGATTTATCTCATTTTGAATTTTTAATCATTCTAAGACAAGACTCTCCACAAGGATTGAAACCATTACAATTACCAGATGTTCTGAAAACATATCAAAGTGCATATTGGTCAAAAATTATACCTCAAAACATAACTGGATATTATAATCGACGATATTCCGGTGTATCGTTGTGTGTACATACTGAAATTATTCCAACAGTGAGACGACGACGTTACTTTTTACATTAATCTATATTTTATTGACAAAGAAATTAAAAAAAAGATGTACAAAGTCATTTTTTTCCATATCGTGCACGATGATTTTGAAACCAAATACGAATAGATGATGTAGGTAAAAGTACTTGAGTAGCAATTTGTTCTTGTTCATACGGTGTTGGATATGGATTTTGAGCATAAATTTGATTTAAATACCAGGTTTGCCAATCAGATAACTTTTGTCGTGCCTAAAGTTGGAGATGAATAATTCATTTGCAATGAAGAATAGTAATAATACATACTTTTTGTTTAGTACATTTAGACGAATGATGATTTTCTTGAAATGACGTAGTCGGAGAATTCAATGAACTATAACCCGTATCATCTTAAATAAAAAAAGAATTATTTTAATATTACATACTCGAATAATTTTAACTGAAAACTATCACATCATACTTTACTTACGACAAAATTTCGAATTACCCAAAAATTAGTAAAGAATGTAACTTACCGTGTTTTTGATAAGGAATAGAAGGAGAAAAAATAGGAGTCAAGGAAGATGCTAATGATTCAATTGAATGAAAATTCACTCGTGGTTTATATGTTGAATGTGGTGTACTTGTTGTTATCATTGTGAACTTTTGTGGTGAAGAACTACAATAGAAAAAAACAACAAGTTCTTGTCGTTCTATTGTCATAACACTGAAGTTTTTCGACTTACTAAGTTTTGTTACAGACGTCACTATCGGATAAATTTGATAAAGATTGTTCATTATTGATGGAATTCATTTTTCAAAAAAAATATTTTTGTTTAGTTAACTGTATGATAAAGAATTTGATAAGAGACAAAACTATATATACTATTATTATCATTTTTGTTGTTGACTGGTGATCAATCAATTAGTGATGATGCGATCATCTTTTTCATTTACATAGTGACGGACATAAATCAATTACAATGATAGCAATTGAATGATTAGAATGAGGTTAACATGAATATAACCCATTAGCTTACAAGTAGATTGTTGTATTCAATCCAATTTATATATACAAAAAACTTTGTTGACATAGAGAAAAGTCATTTTAATTGAAAACTCAGTTATATTTTTAGTGTTTTATTATAATTGTTAATTGTATAGAATTAATTGTTGACTGGAAAAGAAAATCTTGTTCCTAATGAAACTATTTTGATATCATGAAAGAAAATATTTGATTTCTTTGTTAAAAACAATCTTTGAATAATTAAATAAATGATAATTTCTCCTTGATTTAGTTGATGGAAAATAATGTTTTCAATATCGACAAAAAAAAAAAATTCAAGGTTTCACCTGTCTATTGCTTGTAATAGCATGTACACTACTTTTTTTTAATGCTGTATAATTGATACATTTCGTTCTTCAACAATGTTGTATTAGAGAAGGACAGAATATATTGTTGTTTTCTTGTTATTATCACATCAATTCCTTCCGTTTTTTTTTTCGTTTACTACCAATATAATAAACAATATGACAAGTAGAGAAGAACGATCATTTGATTACGAGTAATGCAAAAAAAAAACAATATCAATACAGACTTATAAATACATACATCTATTTATAAAACAGGAGAGAGAAGCCTTGTCATTACTATTTCAACAACAAAGATGATGAATGTATAATTGATGTGAGTTATTTCTTCATATATTACATTGATTAAAGTCGCGAAAGTACAAGACAACAATGGGTATGATTAATTCAAAAGCAAAATATAGTATTTTTTCAAATACATCTGATATAAAATGTAATTACCGATTCCCAACAATTTCTCATGCTCGATCATCAGTATCATTATGTAAGAGAAAAACTAATCATATTGACCTTCATGAATTTTATAACAAACAGCGTTTGTGTATGAAAAAAAAAGTTCTAATGTTGGGTTTGGATGGAGTAGGCAAAACAGATTTATTTACTCGATTAACATGTGATACTAAACAATCATCAAAACCTAAATCTCTACCTCAGCCAACCATTGGTGAGTTCGAAAGATAATAGTCGATGCCTTCAGGACGATGCTTTTCATTCTAGGATACAATGTTGAAACAATTACACTTCACAGTCATCGTTTCTGTCATCGCCGTTCTCACAAAGTTACATTATGGGATTGTGGTGGTCAATCTTCTCTCCGATCATTATGGCCTTATCATTTTTCGAATACGTCTCTTCTTCTTTGGTTAATTAATGTACATGATCGCTCAAGATTAGATACTAATCTTCATTTACTTTCACAAATTCTTACAAATCGATTACTTTATCGAGTTCCAGTTCTTATTGTTGTATATCAAACTTCTTGTGGTTCACAAGATGAAAAAATATCTGACAATAATGATAATGAAAATTTATTAACTAACCTAGAAGTAGCTTTTCGTTTTTTAGCTACTCTTACAACTTCACGTGCAAGTACATTTAAATGGCAAGTTATTAATGTCAATTTGAATGATAATTCTGATAAAGATCTTAAAAAAATTCGACAATCGTTTCAAGAATTAATGGAATTATAAAAAAAAGAAAAATAACAATTTCTATTTTTTTTTTTCAATCTGGTAAAGAACGAACTAAGTCCTGATCATTATCATCATCATTGTTATAACCATTATTAGTTCCATCTCGATAATACATTGTTCTTCGACGTAGACTACTATTTATAGAATAGTTAGTAACATGAGGAACCGCCCATTCTTGATGCTAAAATGTTGAATAGATATGCAATATATAATGCGAAGTTTTTTTTTTATAGTGAAGGAGGACAATTTGAAAAAGTTACTTTGAGCCGATTAATTCTTGCTTGTTTAAAAAAAAGTTGTCTTAATTGTAAGTGTCGTTCTCGAACAGCTTGTATTCGTTTTCCTTCATCTTCAGCTTCTTTTAGAGCAGCTATTTCTTCATATTCTTGATCTATCAAACAAGAAAGAAGTGTATGATTTTTTTTTTGTTTGCATTTTTTATTAACTTCTCAATGTCTTTTCTTGATTAGCTTTGGTGATAGCAGTAGAAAATCTTGCTATAAAATGAAAATTGATAATAAATTATTGAAATATATATATATATATATATGTATTCAAATATACGTTTATTTTTTCCATCGTTGAATGGTCGACTTTTTGTACATTGTTTAATTTCTTTACAAACTAATGTTGATTCTACAGGTGGCATAAGTACAACTGAATTCCAGAATTGTTTAGCCAATTTACTTTCATCATCTCGAGATCCATCAAATACAGTTAATGTTGGATTTTGTCGAGTATCGACTTCATGTATTATTGGACTTGACAAATCTTTAAATTACAATAATTAAATATTGTGGTATCAACTTAAATACAACTACTTACTCATTCTGCTATTTAAAAAACTGCCATCCTTTAGACGGTTGTCATAGAGAAGACACAATTAAAGACACATGTAAGACACCAAACGAAAAACTTGAGCAACATTCATTTTTCTTTCAGCTCGTACAGCCATCTATGAGAAACTACTGATACTTATGTTTTTGAGATTAATTGAATCGTTTTCAAATTCTGAAGTTTTTTTTTCTATGTCCTGTATTATAGAAGTATGATGTTCTTTATATAATTAAATTAAATACATCTTAATATAAATTAATTTATCGTTGGATTAATGTTTTCCATTGGATTTATTCTCAAAACATTATTATATCATAGAGATTGTCATACAAACTTCTTAACAGCAAATAATCGTTCAATGGATCATTTTTTTGTCTACTGATCGATTCTAGATACATTTACCTCTATTGGGATTCTTCTGCATTCAACTTCTTAGCATGTATTGATTCCACAGCGAATCGCTTTATACCGATACTCACTGTTCTAAAATTTTTAAGTCAAAGCGATGACTTCTCAGTTCATATATTCAAGGTTCGAATCTTTACTCAGAACTTTCTTTTGATTAATATGTCATAAAATGATCTCCATTACAGCCCTTATTAAAAAGCCTGCCATACAATATCTAATAACTATATTGTATCGTATCTATTCCGAATAGATTACTTTTTCAGTGGGTTTACGCTACAAAACTCCCATACTGACGTGCGCAGCCACAGAACCTAATCAATTTCGAAACACAAATACATACTATAATTTATTTAAAAAATTCCAATAAATCTCGAAAAAATAAGGTCTGAAAACTAATGCCATCTATGGAAAAATTAAAAACATAAGAAATGATGATTTCATTATTCTAAATTTTACAATGACATGTTAAAATTCAGTACAAAAAGAAATTTCAATATGTGTTTGAACTATTAACATCTTGTCCTTGTTGTCCTATATACACATTATTGTTAGGTTGTAGATCTAAATGAAGCAAAGATTATATTAATTCGAAGCTGAATCTTCACGGTTCAACGAATAATGACTAAAATTTTCTAATTTGTCATCCATCACATCATTCTGTCTTTAATATAATTGAAGGTGTTCGACGTTTACTAAGAGTAACAATCAGGAAAGTACAATTAATATGTCAAACGAAATTACTAACGACAGCTCATTAAGCATCTTATTTCACATATTCAGAGAAGAAGCTGTCAAACAGCTAAAAGATCGATGTGTGTAAAATTAAAAAAAAACAGATACTCATTTCAATAAATCATTGATTATATTAGTCGAATATTAGATATACAAAATAGAACCTTTAGTTGTTGTAAACGAGAAATAAAGAAAAACGATCGATATGCTACACTGACAAGTAATCATTGTTTATCAATATACTGTTACCACAGATATTATCCAGATTCGACATATGTTCTATATTCCGAACATTTTTGGTAGATATTCCGATTCATAGTTAGCTATTCTCGTATACTTTTTTTTTTCTAGAGAGAAAAAAAGCATATTTTTGTATTCTCTACGATTTTATCTTGCAGTTTATCCATTTCGATTATTGTCATAGCATGATGGTCTCGTCACCCTTGTGGTCATTAATATTGTTGATTTTTATTGGTATAATAGCTCATAGTGAAACTCAATTGATTCAAAAGTTTAAAAACAAAATAAGAAAAGTAATATCAGGAAATGTAGGTAGTACGGAGAAGCGTCATAAGTATGAAGAAATGATGTTATTTCCTAATATTGGATTTCACCGTAAAGAAGGTAATTGGCGTTTAAATGTACATGGTTGGCGTTTTCGAAGATCAAGTCGCAATAAATTCTTAGGTGAATCATCATCATCACTAGGTGAACGTATTGCACGTTTGTTTGCAACGCCAGAACAGATTGTCTATTACAATGATACATTTCAACGTGATCGTCTTAAACCTTTTATGGTTCAAGGTCAAAAAGATGAAGAAATTTTGATTATAATTGGAAAAAAAAATAATTTTACAACAACAACGGATAGTGATGGACAATTTCGTACATCATTCATTATTCCAAATGCAGATGTACAAAAATTAAAGAGTACATCAAAAAAGGATCGAGTTATAACATATAAAGCAGTTGGAGATAATGCTGATTTATGGGAAGGAAAAATTCATTTATTAGAACGACGTGGATTATCTATTATATCTGATATTGATGATACAATTAAAATTAGTGAAGTATTAGATAAAATTCGATTAGCAGCTAATACATTCATTCATAGTTTTCGTGTTGTAAAAGGTAATTATGTTCTATTTTTGTATGTAATTATATTATAATAGATATGAAATACAATTTATAACTTAAACTTGATTTCTTATTGTGATTATTTTGTAGGAATGCCACAAGTATATCGTCAATGGAAAGTTAAATACAATTGTTCATTTCATTATTTGAGTGCAATGCCAGATCAACTCTATGCAGTGACGAAAGATTTTATTGATGATCATAAATTTCCTGACGGTACTTTTCATATGCGGTAAGTATCAATAATTTTTTTGTGTTAACAATCATAATTTTGTATTTTGAATTTTAAAAGTCACTTTCATTGGTCTTCTGTATCAATCTATAATTTTATTCATTCTGTTGGTAAGTTTGACTTTAAGTTTTTGTTTTTTTTCTTATTCTATTTTTATTGACTCTCCATGATATAGATACAAAAATGCATAAAATTAATCATTTACGTTATTTTATTTTTAATTCGTTACGTACACTTGTATTAATTGGAGATTCAGGTGAACAAGATCCAGAAATTTATGCATTTATTGAACGAAAATATCCTAAACGCGTACACAGAATTTTTATTCGAGCAGTCAAAGGCGAAACTAAAGATGACAAACGATTTTTAAAAGCATTCGAAAATGTACCAAAAGAAAAATGGCTTATATTTACCGATCCAATTAATGAATTACCCAAAGATTTAAATATCAAATAATTTATCAGAAAATCATCGATAACAAGAACAAAAAGAAGAATATTAAATATGACACAAAAATCTTAGAGAAAAATACTCAATTTTTATAAAATAATCTTAGTATAATTTAGAAATACGTGCAAAATATATACATGTTTTATTTGATAAGATAATTCTTCTAATTTCTTAAATATTAATTCTATTTTATAGAAATCATGAATGAATATAAACATAGGACACAATATGTTTTCGTTCCGTGAAGAATCAAGTTAGGTGTCTAGTTTTATACTTGTAAAAAACATTAGGTGATACGATTGATTCATTTCATGTTGATATCATTTGTTTATTACTTAAAAAATTATTTTCTTTCAATATGCACTTTGAAGATGGAAAATGACAGGAACCATATAAGAAGGTTATATTAAATATATCATTCAAAACACGGTTGGACTTATCCTAAAACTTGCTAAAAATAAATGATAGCTTGTAGAACAACTTCGTTTTTGATGTAGAAATTGATAGACATCGATGTAAAGCGCTTCTATTTACATTTGTTGATTCACAAGAATGGAGTAGATGTAGGAGTCGATGTATAGGCGAAAAGATTCACACTCTCTATTTTCTGTCGCTTTCCTTCTTACGTATGACGTATATGTTTTGACTTCGTTAAAATAAAAGTATAATAACCAATGTTAGAAATAGATACATCAACCCAACTTCTTTGATTCCAAGAAAGCTTGCAACCTAGATTATTTCAACCATTTGTCGAAACGAAACTCAACTATTGATAAAACCTTCATATTAATTTGTACTCTACGAACTAGAACTGCTTTAGAGTTGTTTTTATTAAGTATTCGTCTAGTAACAACCAATCTAGAAGAAGAAAAACAAGTAGCTCAATCAACCATATGCAATCGAAATAATGATATCACTGTTTTGTACAATACAAGTGCATTATATCAAGAAATTCAATTGAACCTATTAACAATAAACGGTGTCAGTATGTGTGTGGGTGCATGATTTTTGAAGAAGGAGAATACACACAGGCTCACTTATATTCAAATCCTTCCTAGCACATAATTTGCATTATGGATAGAAAAAGAAAGTAATTTAACTTACAACCACTATAGAATCGGTAAATCGACGTGTTTCACAGGTAGTACGTGCTATTGCACAACAGCATCTCTAAATAAAATTTAATCAAGAACAAAATCTT